CTGATATATTTATATAAATTCGTTTTTATTAAATACTAAATTTTATATGAAATTATTTAAATAAGGTAAATAAACAAATTTACCTAAAAGAACATGACAACTTAACAAATTTACTTTTTAAATAATAGTATAGATTAAATATTAAATTATTAATATAAATCCTTTTTAGATAAATATAATAGTGTTTATATCTTAATTTTAAATTTAAGTTTTATATATGAAAATATATTTCAAGATAACAACATAATTCACAAGAATTATCTTATTTACTAAAAATATGATATATTAATATAAATTCATTTTTATTAAATAATAAATTTTTCTATATGAAATTATTTAAATAAGGTAAATAAACAAATTTACCTAAAATCAAGGAGAACATGACAACTAAGCAAATTTACTTCTTAAATAATAGTATAGATACTTATTTTCATTTTAATATTAATTGTAAATTGTAATGAGTTTATAAATAATTTTATTTATCTCAAGTATTATTGGTCAAATAGGTATAATTACTATATACACAAATGTATTTCAATCACATTTGTAATCACTAATATGTGTGAAAAATGTCAAATTGACACTTTTTAAGAAACTGATTTAGATCATTCTCAGCCACTCATTTATATTCATAGTTTTGATATCCGGTTCATAAAATTTCGGGGCCAGACATGTTTTTCGCACATAGCAGATATTTCAAGAGATCTTTTTTCCTATACCGAAAAAGTGAAGAAGTCTTTTTTCTTAGATCTGTTTAATAACAAATGACTTAAACTAAGTAAATTTAATGACTAAATTAATTTTTTGACTAAGTTAAATCAAATCAACTTACTAATAAATGGATAAACTAAATACACTGGTGGATAACCAAAATAATTTAGTGACAAATGGCTTGTAAACTTAAAGACAAATGTCTAAGTTTATGATTAACTTTGTAATCTTTCTTATAAATAGACATCTTATATCTCCATAATAATACATCTCATACACAATCACAAGCATCATATGCTTTGATAAGCTTCTACATACAAAGTTCCAGCAAAATTTATAAGTAAAAATAAGTCTCTAAAATATAGTGTAGTGTAGATGTTAAATTCACATATTTTGTTTTGAGTAATGTAAAATAGTCTCATGTGATCTTAAAATCTTGAGACTAAATAATAGTACAAAAGTTGTCTCACCTACGAGTGGTTTATTAAATTAAGTAAAGATATCAAATGTCGATTCTATGTATTCGTCTATTTTGTTTAGCAATTTTTAAAGTTTTGCCGTCGATTATTATCATTTTCAACTCATTTGTTTCTTTCATAAATTTTAATTTGAATTCTCGCGTCATAACAGAACGATGGTTTGTCCTCCATCAATTCAGTTAGTAGAGTTTAGGGCATGAATAATTGGTTTCTTAATTAATGATTTGATATTTTATTTACATTTTTTACTAAAAGATAATTTTTATATCTCCCATTTAAATGATGATTTTTAATTCTTTTTAGTTAAAATCTAAAAAATATTGTGAAATGTTTTTTAGTCGAAGTTAAGAAACACAGTTAAGACTAGGGTCAACGATGGTCTTAGAAGATAACTTGAAAAGTTTCAGCCTTCTAGTAAGTTAAGATTGTCCACAGAAAAAGAAACACTTTCCTTACTAGTGAGACAACTCAAATAGACGGTAGGACAATTTCAGATATCGAAATAAATTTAGTTAAATTTTTGATATCGAAATAAATTTAGTTAAATTTTTGATCCACGCTTAAAAAGTGCGGATACTATTTTTATTGTTTTATCTATAGAGTCTTTTACTTTGATGATATAAATATCACTATTTAATATAATTTTAAAAATTAATGTAGATTTTAATTTATTGTTATCATCAATATCTATGTAAATGTATTGTATGTAACTGTATAGTTTTATTTTGAAAAAATAATATTAATTAACTATGTTTGGTGCTGGAAAGCGGGTCAAGCTCGCCCCGTCTGTCTTACCTGACCTGCAAAAAAATATATTTTATCCGTATACTTAATTTTGTGGGTAATATACAACTCACAGATAATTATTAAATAATAAAAATACATATTTTTAATTTTCTTCTAAAAATAATAATAGATAGTATATTTAAATTAAATTTTTAATATTATTAAAAAATATAATTATTTTAATGAAATTTAATATATTTTTGAAAAATAAACTTAAAAATTTATATTTTTGCAGATTAACGGGTACTCGTAATGGAAATTAGAACAATTCACATCCATCCCACGTAAAATACACTTGACCCGCATCTATAACTTAAATTTTTCAAATTGACCCACGGACTAATATCAAAATTCACAGTTCTAACTACGTCAATTAAGGTTGATATGTTTATTTTTTTAAAAAACTTCATAAATAATTAGAAGGTCTCTTCAGAACGTTTTAGACTCGCCTACCACTTGATCTTCGAAGATGAAAGTCGACAAAAAAATAATTAAAATATGTATATAGTCCATTAAACTCAATATTATATTTTTTTAAATTAAAAAATCAAAAAACTAAATTAACATTAATGAAAATAAAAATTTGTTTATACTGATAATTTTGGAAAACTTACAAAAACTCATTAAAGATAATGATCTCTTTTATGGTATTGATTAACTTCTACTCTATTAAAATAGAGTCATTATTTTTATATACTGATACAAGTTGTCATTTAAATTTAGACCCTTTCTAGAATGTTACAAATAATATAAGTCACATAATTGATTGAACCGTATTACTTAAATTAAACAACATAATTAATGTAAAGAGACGACCTTAATGTAAACTACCTTCAAAATACGGCAGGTATCTATGTGTATACCAAAAACACATATTTTCTCCTACAAATATGGAATGTTCTAAAAGAATATATATCATCAAAATATGGAATATGGAAAGCTACTAATTATACTTAAATTAAACCAGCGGTTATTTATGGAATAGAGTCTTGGGCTTACTTTTATTTTTTGAACAAATTCTATAGTTTGGTTTTTTGGCTTAGTATTAAGAAAAAACTCCAAAAACATTGAATAAACTTTTCACCTTAAAAGATCAAAAAATCAATTATTATTCTCAGACCCAAAAGGTATTTAATATTTTTAACAAAATAAAATTATCTATTATTAATCATTTATTTAAATCATGTACTTTAAAACATGTTAATATTTTTTTTTTCAAATAACAATCACTTTGTTTTGATAAATTTCAATGGTAACTTTTAAATAATTTATTGTTTTATTTTTCTTAAATAATTTACTGATTAGAAAAATGTAAAGTAAAATCAAAAACCAAATCTAAAAACTAAAATCCAAAACCAAAAGCTGAAAACACATGTTATATTTTTTTGCTTTGTTTATTTACAAAATAAACTATTTCAATTTTTTTTTAAAAAAATTGTTATCATCTTTTCAGTTTTAAATTAGATGTTCGATTATTTGAGATTTCTTTGTTGGTAATATTAGTTCAAACTAACTCAGCGGGTTTAAAAATTAAAAACCCAAACCAAAAATTGAAAATGAAAAATAGAAACTTAAAAACTAAAAACCAAAAACCAAAATCTAAAAATAAAACTGAAACTAAAAACTAATGAAAAACAATCATCACCACAAATTTTGGTGAACTGACTTTATATTAAAATATTCTTTAAGTTAAGACAAACCCCAATTATATAAATTTTTAATCATAAAGAATTTCCGCGTTTTCAAGCGCGGATCAAAATCGGTTTAAAATGAAAACCTTATCACATCATTACATTAACAAGCATTGTCCTCAGACTCTCTCTCTCTCTTCCGGCAGATCAATAAACCTGTAAGAAAAAAAGAACGTCCTTTTCCCCTAATCTCCGAATCCCAGATTCCTATGTAAGCTCTCATCTTCTCTCTACAGATTAGATCTCCCTTTCGTTTTTGATATTGTTCTTCGAGATCTATCTAATGCCTTACGTGTTCCTCGTATGATTACCCTTCCGATTTTTTTCTCGAAATTCAGGTTTTTGATTATTGGGTTTCTCTGATCTATTCTCATTAACCATAAAAGGAGTTCCTTTACGGATCTTTAATCTCACAATTTCAGATTTCTTGATTTCTTATCATCCTTTTGACAGAGATTTTAGGAGGGGGCATATGATTGTTTGATCTTGGATTTGATTTGGGAAGAGAGAAGACAGTGGTTCGGTGTAAAATGAGGGTGCTTGGTTTGAGCTCAAGCTTATGCTCTACTGAGGAGAAGGAGGCTGAAGAGATGGTTGGAGACTCCTCAGGTCTCACACCTGTGTATCTCAATGTCTATGATCTAACACCTGTCAATAATTATCTCTATTGGTTTGGTCTTGGCATTTTTCACTCTGGAATTGAAGGTAATTGTTGTGTGCCTTCTTCTCTATAATTTGACTGACCTTATCTAATATATTCTCCGCAATGTTCTTTGTTAGTCTTATGTCTCGCTTTCTGTTTGCTTTAATACATATCTGGTTTGAATACAACACATTTACCTGAAACATTTGTGATATATTGATTAGGCAACAATGTTTGGTTAAGTGGGGTTTTGTAATGAATATTTGAGGAAAATGTTGATGGAAACCTTTTCAAATCTTGTCTTGTTGCCTGAAACATTTAGTACTTACCTAATGAGTTATATTCGTATTTACTCTGGAGTTAGGGCATTTTATCCTTGCTAAATGTTTATCTAACATGAGTTTTTTTTGTCACGTGTATGCCTCCTACTAGCTCATGGTTTTGAATATGGATATGGTGCTCACGAGTACTCAAGCAGTGGTGTGTTTGAGGTTGAACCTAGGAACTGTCCAGGTTTTATCTTTAGGCGGTCTGTTTTGTTGGGAACCACCAGCATGTCTCCTACAGATTTCCGCTCATTCATGGAGAAGCTTTCAAGGAAGTATCATGGGGACACATACCATTTGATTGCCAAAAACTGTAACCATTTCACCGAAGAAGTGTGCCTGCAGGTAACTGGAAAGCCTATTCCCGGGTGGATTAACCGGATGGCTCGTGTAGGTAAGATTATAAATTATCTTATGTATCTTCCAGCTTTTTCTTAACTTAGTTCTTGTTTGTTTACATGACTGCTTGTTCTTGAATTCATATAGGTTCGTTCTGTAACTGTATACTTCCAGAAAGCATACAGCTCTCAACTGTTGGACAACCAGAAGCACTTGAATTCTCTGGTACGTTAGTTCCAAAGAATCTAGCGTTTTCTCTTCTTGTCTGGTTTCTTATGGAACTGGTTGTTTTATCTTCACTGTAGATGATGATGATGGTTCAGAAGAATCAGCTGCATCTTCTCTCTCAGAGGAAACAGATGGAGAAGGACAAGATCATCATCTGATAACAGCACCAAACAGCGACATTGCGTATCTTCAAGACAGACCAGTGCGACTTGCTCGAGAGCTGCTCCAAGAACCAACCGATGGGTCTCCTATGTTGAGGCGGTCTTGAGCTTTCCATAGGGTTCACCAAGAACTTAATATCGTTTGTCTGAAAAATTCCATCTTTGAGTATATTCTTTGGGGACTAGAAATGTAAAAAAGATTTGAAATTTAAGTGAGAACCCATCTTAAGATATTGATGGTAGTGAGTTTAGAGATTATGATGTGAACTTGTTGACAATATTGTGTACTCGTTTCTCCTGAAGGCAAACTCTTTATCTTTCTCTTGGGTTCACATTGCTGATTTGTGTCTAGTTTATGATATTTGCGGATTGCGATGCTATTAATTAGTATTCAAATTTTATGATCAATTTAAGACAGTTGTTTGGTTATGGATTTGATATGGACAGAGATGATAGCTTCTAGCCTAAGGTCTTAAACTCTAGTTCACATTATGTAGCTAAATTAGTCAAAGCCGGACTTGGAAAACGAGTAATTTAACTTAACCCACTAGTTTTATTTGTAGATTTGTCATTATAAAATTTAGGTTGAGTTTTTTGTTATAAAAATTGCATAATCTTATGACAAAAGAAAGTAAGTTTTGTGTTGGATCTTATGTGTATCTACACTAATCATTAAATCAGGTCATGCTGGATATATAAACATTGTTGCTGTATTACAATAGTTATTAAATTAACAAATGACTTCAACAAATATAGAAGGTTTTTCTGCAATTCAATGTAATAATAGATTTGCTTAGCTTTTTATGAAAACAATTATAAAAATACTAGTGTACAATAACTCTCTCTGTATATGGCCAGTGGGGACCAAGTGTGACCATGGAAGACTGATGCCTGGATATACTAGTTCTTTCTTAAATGAGTTTACATTTCAGTGATAACAGCTATTGATACTTATCTATTATTAGGTATCCAACGTCAAAAAATGTTTGCTCCCAAGTTTTGAAAATAAGCAACAGAAGACCTATAAATGTGATTGGCCAATGAAGTTAGCACAATAAGTAACCAACAAACTGGCCGTGACATTTTAATTGTATCCCTCTCAAGTCTCCTTTTTTTTTTTTGAAACTCATCCCTCTCAAGTCTCAACATTCACATTTCTCATGACGGTTATGTTTAGTTTCCATTTTCACTTATTTTTATTTTCCGTTTATAATTCTCTTATCCTAATATATAGAATTCCATTTTAACTTTTTCTATTACAGTTGATTAGTTTTAAAATATATTACGGATCCTTTAAACATGTATTTGTTTAGAGAAATTATCCTAATCTAGTATTTAAATTTTTAAAAAAATTAATGAGAAATTTATGGTAAATTTTACACAGAAATAAGAGGGATGTATTCACTCCAAATTTTGAGGTGATTAAATGTTAATGAAGTTTTATATGATTTTTGATAAGTTGCGAACATTTAAGTGATTTTTGTTAAACCACTCTAGAATATCGCATAAAATCATGAGATTTGGGTTTTAATTTTTTTTTAACTAAGAAATTCTATCTAAACACTCTAAAATCACTTGAAATTTTTAAAACTTCACAATTTAAAATATTTTCAATAACATTTGATTTTAGAGTATTTTATAAAATATCAAGTTAAACAACACTTCATTTTAAATATTTTTTAAAATTTTATATTTGAATAACAATGAATTTGTCCTTTTAAAACAAATCACCTAAAATTCTCAATTGAATACATCCTCCTAAATATTATTGAATTTATAGTAAACAGTTAATATGAAATCCTTGCCTGCATATAATATTATTGAATTTATAGTAAACAATTAATATGAAATCCTTGCCTACATATATTAAAAAAGTTCCTTGCATATCTATACTATTATTTGCGAAGTGATTTTTCGCAACGGAACTCCCACGTTAAAAGCTGAAGTGATTAATATTGTTTATACCCTTAATGAATAAAATATATAAATCAGTCCAAAATAGAAAAAAAAACGAATTTATATTATTTGATTAGATAAATGATTTAAATTAATAATAATGATAAGAATTATCCATAATTTAGATATATATTTAAAAATAAAATAAAAAGATAATTCCTATATATATTGTGTTGTTATCGAAAAAATATATTTAATTAATATATAATCAACCATAAATTAGAAACAAATTTCACTGATTTGATGACTATTATTATCTAAAAATAGTTGATATTAATAAACCATAAACTAAAACTGAATTAATATATAAGTAACAATAAAAAAGAATTTGCTGATTTATCATATTCTCCCTAATTTTATGTAGTTATACTTATTTATCATGTTTTTATGATTTTGTCTAATAATTAATTATTACCCTTAATTAATGACTAAATAAAATTATTATTATATAATTATGAACCGTGTATTAATTACATTTACTACCCGTAATGACAAAGCAAAACATAAACTTAATGACTAATTGGATTTACTACTATATAGTGACTAATTAGATCTATTACTATATAATAATTAGAAAGAAATCTTATTTGTCATGTTTCTTATGATTTGATGATTATCATTATCTAGACTAATGATTATAATAAATCTAATTATTCATTATATAGTAATAAATCTAATTAGTCATTAAGTTTATGTTTGCTTCGCCATTAAGGATAGTAAATCTAATTGTCATGTTCTTATGATTTTTAGTACCCTTAATGACAACGCAAACATAAACTTAATGACTAATTAGATTTAATACTATATAATGACTAAAAGTTATTACTATTTGACAAAAAAGGATTTATTACTATATAATAATTAAAAATTTCAATATATACTTAAACATAAGTAAAAAAATGAGTTTCAATGATTTTAGATTTATCTTTATCTAAAACTATTTTATATTGGGTTGTAAAATCTTTATTAATTTTGAAATATAATTATATTTATAGTAATATATTATTAATTATAAATTAAAAACGAATTTCATTTATTTGATAATCATCCTTATTTATTTTTGTATAGTATGTCTTTATCAACATTGAAAACAATTATATTAAAATAATAATATTTATTGATATATAATTAATTATAAATTAAAAACGAATTTCATGAATTTGATAATTATCATTATCTAATTTTTTATATTGTGTTATAAGTCTTTATTAACCTTGAAAAATAATTATATTTGTTAATATATATTTAATTATGAAAAAAATTAATTCCCAAAGAATTTATGTATAGATAGTTTACATTACTAAAGATAATTTTATAATATTTTTTGTTATGTCTAAAAATAATATTAATTTATTACTAAATATTTTAAATTTATGAATATTTTCACATTTAATTTGTGTAATGATGATGAAAAATTTTATATATAGAAAGATTTATTTAAATTATTATTAAATATTTTGAGTGTATGAACAATAATTTATTATAATTTATTTAAATTAATTATATTTGTTTATAGATATTAGAAAATTATTAAACCCGCAAGTGCGGGCAAAACACCTAGTTTTTCACATATAGACAAATACACACAAAACATACACGCATATTAAAAGCGGTAACGACTAGATAGCATAGAATTAGGATAAACAGAAAAAATGACGAACAAGAGAGTTAATGCGATCGCAGGAAGATATAAGCCTATCGTTACCGTCCATTTAATTCTGATACATTTATAAAACCAATCATCACCGTCCATTTTACATAGACACTAACTTACTTGGCCGCAACTCCCAACCACATCACGCTCTTTCTACTCCCTACATATATTCCCATCTCAAATGTTCTTGGAGACAACGGAACACATAAAACACACAAACGCCAATCGCAACTTTCGCGTTTACTATGGAGAAGAAGCGTTTTGGACTTGCGGTGGGGGTTGTATTCTTAGCATTAGTTCAAATCTCTGTTTCTGTTCCGTTTATAGTGCTTCATGGGATTGCAGCTGCATGTTCTGAGGACAAAGAAGCTAACTTCACACAGCTTCTCTCTAACTTCTCTGGCTCTCCTGGTTTTTGCCTGTAAAAATCCACATAACCCCCTCTCTTATCTTTTTATTTGCTTTTATCATATGATTATGAATATGGTTTGATCTAACTCTTGTTGTTTGAATCCAGAGAAGTTGGAAATGGAGAACTTGACTCATGGTTTATGCCACTTGCGAAACAAGCGGAAATAGCGTGTGAGAAAGTAAAGCAAATGAAAGTGTTGCGTCAAGGATATAACATTGTTGGAAGATCTCAGGTATATCTTTAAAACCTAAGAATGTAAGTTTTTGATCGTTATCCTGAACGTGATATTCTTTTTCTTTTCCGCCTCGAAATGGAAGCATATTTGAAAGTAATCTTAGAGTGTCTAGGGGTAGACCAGTAGAATCTTTTAAGCCCTAGCTTTTATGAATCGCTATAGACTTAATACTATTAATGGAAATCAATTCAGTATGATGGTAAGAATACATATGATGGATGATGTGTGATGGAACAGGGGAATCTAGTGGCTAGAGGCTTGATTGAGTTCTGCGACGGTGGACCTCCGGTTTACAACTATGTATCTTTAGCAGGTCCCCATGCTGGAATCTCCTCTGTTCCTATGTGTGGTGTAAGTTTTTCTGATTTAACTTCAATTATTATTTTTTTTTTTTTTGAAATGTTAAATTTGTATATCAATAAAAGAAACAATGTTTACAGTACTGAAATCTTTAAAACACTGCAGCAGTACAATTATTTTAATTTTTAAATGACTTGATTTTATTTAATAAGTGACAGTGTTTCTAGCTATGTTGTTAATTTGTTTTTTGTTTTTTTTGGGGTGAAGTCTGGATTATGGTGTGAAATAGCTGATGAGCTGATCAAGTCAGATATATATAGCGACTTCATTCAAGTAAATATAATAATTTTTTATCTATCTATATATCAGGATTAGTTTAATTAATCACTTCTTTAATGACTTTGCAGGATCATCTTGCTCCTAGTGGTTACCTCAAAATCCCTACGGTATGTTTCACCCAAACTATAGCTTAGTTTAGAAGATTAATTAAGAACATTTTTATAAGGTTTTAATGTAATCTTTATTTTTTGTTTCCTCAGGAAATGAAAAAGTACCTGGAAAGTTCCAAGTATCTACCTAAGCTTAACAATGAGATACCAGGCCAAAGAAACTCCACTTACAAAGAACGTTTCGCCAGCTTACACAACTTGGTTCTTATCATGGTTAGATATCCTCAAAACCCATATTTCTCTAATTTTTAAATCCATTGAATCCTCTCTTGATGATCATGTTTTTGTTTCTTACAGTTTGAAGACGATAAGGTCATTGTTCCAAAAGATTCATCTTGGTTTGGGTTTTACCCGGATGGTGATTTCGGACCTCTTCTCAATGTTCGAGAGACAAAACTATTTAAAGAGGACTGGATCGGTCTGAAACCATTGATTGATACTGGGAAAGTGGAGTTTGTGAGTATAGATGGTGCACACCTCAAAATTTCAAATATCGATGTCGTCAAATACGTCGTGCCTTATCTCCAAAACCAACCTTCTTCGGAACAAAGAAGAGTCAACCGCAAAACAAAGGAGCCTTTGCCTACTTAAAAGAGAAAATATCTCATCATTCATATATGTTTATTTATGCAATAGTGAAAAATCATTAGTGATGATTAATGTGTAGAACAACAATCCTGATTCATATAGATATATTATAATATACATACCTATCTATAATAATCGAATTAACTCGTTGAGATCTTATTGAAGAGTTGAATTCTGATTATTGTAAGTCATTATGTCAACTTTCTTGGTGTTTACGGTAGGGTTATTGTTTTAAGGGAAAATTATTTTTTAGGACAAAAAATGATAACTATGTCTCATTAAACTAATTTTATTTATTCTATGTACCATTAGACTAATTATTTTTAAAATGGTAATAATACCTTTAAAATTTTAATTTTAATTCCTAATTACAACAAACTAGGTGTTGTGCCCGCATATGCGGGCATAATTTTCCTACGAATATTTATTATTTTTTGTTTTATTAATTCTAAAATAATATCATAAATTATTTTTCTATAAAACTAAATCAAACTTAAAGTATTTTGTATGAAGTTTCATCAAATTCTATATGCTTATTATAGTGTTGAAAAATTTCCATATAATAAAATATTTTTGGAAATATATTTATATTTTTTCGTGCGGGCATAATTTTCTTACGAATATTTATTATTTTTTGTTTTATTAATTCTAAAACAATATCATAAATTATTTTTTATAAACCTAAATCAAACATTAAAGTATTTTTATATGAATTTTCATCAAATTCTATATGCTTATTATAGTGTTGAAAAATATCCATATAATAAAATATTTTTCGAAATATATGTATATTTTTCTTAATATTTAATTTTAACTTGTTTTGTAACTTAAATTTTTATTTTTCAAAATAAAAAAGATTATTTTCAGATAACTGTATAATATTCTATAAGATATCTTACTTTTTAAATATGCATGAATGTGGATAATTATCCTATTAATTTATAATCAATTAAATAATATAATAACATATAAATTTATATCACTAAGATAAAATTCGTTATTAACTAATTTATATATAAATATATAAATATATAAATTCATTAACAGTATAATTAACTTGAACTGTTCCAATTTTAATATCTAATATTTAATTATATTTAAAAGTATCTTTATATGTTTTTGTTTGATTAATATTTAATTATAAATTGATTTTTATATTTTAATTTTTAAATTTTATAATAGAATGATATTATTTTCAAAAGTCAAAATCAATTATATNATATATAAATATATAAATTCATTAACAGTATAATTAACTTGAACTGTTCCAATTTTAATATCTAATATTTAATTATATTTAAAAGTATCTTTATATGTTTTTGTTTGATTAATATTTAATTATAAATTGATTTTTATATTTTAATTTTTAAATTTTATAATAGAATGATATTATTTTCAAAAGTCAAAATCAATTATATATAAAATTAAGATATATAAGCATTATCATGTTGTTACAATATTATATCCCTAAAAAATAAGAATTATCTAAGTTATCTAAGAATTATCTTATTTTTGATTTTTTTATAAACTTATTATATTAATTATTCTAAGTTATCTAAGATAATAACATACTAATCTAATTTTCTTATTTAATTTTAACTTGTTTTGTAACTTAAATTTTTATTTTTCAAAATAAAAAAGATTATTTTCAGATAACTGTATAATATTCTATAAGATATCTTACTTTTTAAATATGCATGAATGTGGATAATTATCCTATTAATTTATAATCAATTAAATAATATAATAACATATAAATTTATATCACTAAGATAAAATTCGTTATTAACTAATTTATATATAAATATATAAATTCATTAACAGTATAATTAACTTGAACTGTTCCAATTTTAATATCTAATATTTAATTATATTTAAAAGTATCTTTATATGTTTTTGTTTGATTAATATTTAATTATAAATTGATTTTTATATTTTAATTTTTAAATTTTATAATAGAATGATATTATTTTCAAAAGTCAAAATCAATTATAT